ACACACACACACACACACACACACACACACACACACACACACACACACACACACACACACACATGGATGCACATACACACAAACACACACACAAACACACTTAGTTTTATTCGCGAACACATGCATCTATGTATACACGCATAACTTCTGATCAATATATGTTGTAATTGTCTCGCATTATGTCGATACATAGGTTTCTTATATAATTGCAGTCTGACTTTACTTTATTACAAATGAAGTTTGGTGTATGTTCTTTTGATGAGGTCTTGACACTTAGTCACTGCGTATAATCGCGGGATGGCTACCCCCACCTACCCACCTACCGATTGAACCTTCAAACATTTGACCGTCCACCCATTCGACCATCTCGCCATCACCCTATCATTGCACCGCGCCATTGGATGGTCGGGCTTCAACGGGGCACCCTACCATCCGATGGAGGGGCTTCAATGCAACACCCCACCATCCGATGGTCGGGCTTCAACGCGACACCCCACCATACGATGGTCGAGCTTCACCGCTCGCCCCGACCGTTATGCCATCTTGCCATGCTGCAACCCTGGCATCCTGCCTTCTTGCCGCCTGACCATCCTCCCATCTTACCATTCCACCATTCTGTCATTCTGCCATCCTCCCATCCTCCCATCCTCCCATCCTCCCATCCTCCCATCCTCCCCTACTCCCATCCCACCACCTGACCATCTGATCAGCTGGGCAGCTGACCATCCTGCCACCCGACCACCCGACCATCCCGCCTTCTAGCAATTCTACAATCTGACTATCCTGCCTTCCAGCAATTTCACAATCCGACCGTCCGACCATTCGATTGTCCAACCATCGTGCCATCCGCCCAGCCTAACATGAACCCTGTACCTTTAAACGTCCGACCGTACACTCATTCGACCATCTCGCCACCACCCTGTCGTTGCACCTCGCCATCCGATGGTCAGGCTTCAACACGCCACCCTACCATTCGATGGGGGGCTTCAACGAGGCACCCCACCATCCGATGGCCGGGCTTCAAGCGACACCCCACCATACGGTGGTCGAGCTTCACCGCTCGATCCCACCGTCCTGCCATCCTGCCATCCTGCAATCCTGCCATCCTGCCGCTCGACCATCCTCCCATCTTACCATTCCGCCATTCTACCATCCTCCCATCCTCTGATCCTCGCATTCTACCACCCGACCATCCGGCCAGCTGACCATCCTGCCACCCGACCACCCGGCCATCCCGCCTTATAACAATTCTACAATCCGACCATCCCGCCTTCCAACAATTTTTCAATCCAACCGTCTGACCATTGGATTGTCCAATCATCGTGCCATCCGACCAGCCTAACCTGAACCCTGTCACCCGGCCACCCCACCGTCCCGCCATCCCACCACACAACCATCCTGCAATCCTGCCATCCAAGAATCCTGTCATCCTCGCATCCTGCCGCCCTTCCATCCTTCCATCCTGCCATCCGACAACCCGACCATCGTGTGTTCTAACAATTTCACAACCTCATCATCCGACCATTCGGATGGTCGACCGTCACCGCTGCATCATGCGGGATGGTCGACCGTCTCAAAACTATGCTAAAGACGAATGTGTCCATTGCCACAGTAAGGACAGTCGTACACGTCTCTGCTCCAACCAGTAGAAAATGTCACTGCTTTCTTCCCCCCACGTGTGTATTTTTTTCTATCGAAAAGAACGTCCAGCGTGTCATCTCGATGTTCAACGGTCCATGATATCTCATCATAATTGTCAAACAGATAATGAACATGATTGTGCACTAAGCATTCTATCCTCATGTCGAACTCTTTCCTTAGAGCATGATCATGGGATATTCGAGTTTTTAAGCGCCCAAGTGATCCAGCGAGTGTAGGGTCGTTGAATGCTTCCTGAGATGTAAGTGTGATATTGTGAAACTCCTCTCTAGCAAAGAAGAACGTATTAATATTTTTTTCGTTCACCTTGGCCGCTGTGAAAAGTGTCACAACGGTGGTGTTACGATTCAACACCCGGATTCGACCATAGAAATCTACAAAGATCGGGAATGGCAGGTGCGGTTTTCCGAGGCAAGACCAAACACATTGTTTGGCATGTTTCCTGTCCCGCTCTGACCATTGCTGCTTTATACACAATGTTTTTCGCGCGTCAACCATCTTCGTTGGTGTAACAGGGTCTTCAGTACTGTCCTCGGCATCGGGCTCCACATCGACTTCTTGCTCCAACGAGCACAAGTACCAGAAGTCTTTGTCGTCGTCACGATGAAGTTGTATGTCGTTTCCTCCCATGACCCAAGACATGGGGATTTCACCGTCCGGTGCGACATTTCGGACAAGGTGCAAATAGCGAGAGTCTATGCTGACGATATCATGTTCCCATATATTTTTGTCGAATATTATAAGATCCAAGGTCGGTGTATTTGAATTGTTGCCTTGTGATGAAGTTTCAGTCGATGATGCGTTGTCGTGCGATGCATTGTGGTTGACATTCATCCTGCAATACGAGAATAAGCACGACGAAAATAATGTAGCATATGTTTCACATTTTGTTACTATCATGCACATTCAGTCACTGCCATATGCATCTTTGACATTTCGCAAACTTTGACAGCCTTTGATATAGGACCCCCCCCCCCCTCTCCCCCCCCCTCCGGTTATGAGTAAGAGGCCAGCTCACATCACAAATACGCATACAAATGAATACATGGTAACATAACCATAACACGTGTTTCGTCTTCTTTGCATTCAAAATAGGAACCCATTATGACTCCTCCCTCGATCCCTTTAAGGAAAATGTCATAACCAGCAATACACCAGGCACGAAACTTTGATAGGTTTGTGAAATCCACAGGACTCTATGTGAATCCCACCAGTGTAGCCAAATACCATCCTATCGCAAAATCATTCCGTCGTCCTACAACCGACCATCCCACCATCCCACCAACACACTATCATGCCGTCATATTATCCTCCTATCTTATGACCGAGCTTTGTCACGATCCACGATCCTATGATCGAGCGTTCCCCTTGCACACATGGCCGTCATGTATCACTTGTCTAGGTTTTCTCTACCATCCCGCCATCTTGTAGTCGAGCGTCATCATTACAGTGATTGGCGACCTGCATAAGTTTTTCGGGTTTGCCTGACCATCCCGCCATCCTCCTATCCTACAATCGGGCATCCTACCATCCCGCTGCCACACCATCCTACCATCTGATAGTCGTGTTTCGCCATGGCACCCGACCATCTGAGAGCCAAGTTTCGCCATGACGCCCGACCATCTAGTAGTCGAGCTTCGCTATGATGCACTTGTCTAGGTTTTCTTTACCATCCCACCATCTTGTAGTCGAGCGTCGTCATTACAGTGATTGGCGACCTGCATAAGTTTTTCGGGTTTGCCTGACCATCCCTCCATCCTCCTATCCTACAATCGGGCATCCCACCATCCCGTTGCCACACCATCCCCCATCCTACCATCTGATAGTCGCGTTTCGCCATGACACTCGACCATCTGAGAGCCAAGTTGCGCCATGACGCCCGACCATCAGGTAGTCGAGCTCCACCATGACACCCTACCATCTGATAGTCGAGCTTCGCCATGACACCTGACCATCTGATAGTCGAGCTTTGCCATGACACCCTACCATCTGATAGTCGAGCTTCGCCACCACACCCGACCATCTGCCAGTCCCGCTTCGACATGACACCCTATCAACTGATAGTCGACCTTCACCATTATGGCAATCCATAGCCCGTCGCCCTATCAGCCCACCATCGTAGCAATCTACCAACCTGCCTACCTACCGTCCCACCATCCCACCATGCTACAATCGATCATCGCACCATCCCGCCAACATTCCTCACCATGTTACAAGTCGGCGTCCTACCACCATACCAGCCTGCCATGTTACAATCGATCATCCCATCATTCCGCCAACATTCCTCACCGAATAATCGATCATCCCACCATCCCACCATTCAAAGAATTTGGCGTCCTACCACCATAACAGCCTGCAATAACCGACCGTCCTTCCATCCGACCACCCGGCCGTCCTTCGGACCAATCGACCGTCCTGCCATCCGACCACCCCACCGTCCTTCCATCCGAGCGCACGACCATCCTGCAGTCCTGTCATTCGAACACCCAACCATCGAACCTTCCTGCCTGCCCTCCACCGGACCAACCGACCGTCGTGCCATCCTGCCCACCGTCCCGCCGTCCGAACGCCCTACCATCCTACAGTCCTTCCATCCGAGCGCCCTACTATCCTGCAGTCCTGCCATCCAAACATCACCCTATCGTCGTGCCGCGCCATCCGATGGTCGGGCTTCAACGTGACACCCTACTATCCGATGGCGGGGCTTCAACGTGACACCCGTCGAGCTTCGATGCGACACTCCACCATACGATGGTCGAGCTTCACCGCTCCACCCGACCGCCGTGCCATCCTGGCATCCTGCAACCCTGCCATCCTGCCATCCTGCCGCCCGACCATCCTCCGATCTTGCCATTTCGCCATTCTCCCATTCTCCCATCCCACCATCCCACCACCCGACCATCCGACCATCCTCCCATCCCGACATCCTCCCATCCGATGGTCGGGCTTCAACGCGACATCCCACCATACGATGGTCGAGCTTTACCGCTCCACCTGACCGCCGTGCCATCCTGGCATCTTGCAACCCTGCCATCCTGACATCCTGCCGCCCAACCATCCTCCGATCTTGCCATTCCGCCATTCTGCCATCCTCCCATCCTGCCATCCCACCACCCGACCATCCGACCATTCTCTCATCCTCCCATCCTGCCATCCTCCCATCCTCCCATCCGATGGTCGGGCTTCAACGCGACACCCCACGATACGATGGTCAAGCTTCACCGCTCTACCTGACCGTCGTGCCATCCTGGCATCCTGCAACCCTGCCATCCTGCCATCCTGCCGCTCGACCGATCTTGCCATTCCGCCATCCTCCCATCCTGCCATCCCACCATCCCACCACCCGACCATCCGACCATCCTCCCATCCGATGGTCGGGCTTCAACGCGACACCCCACCATACGATGGTCGAGCTTCACCGCTCCACCCGACCGTCGTGCCCTCCTGCCATCCAGACCAACCGACCGTCCTCCCATCCAACCACACCACCGTCTCGCCTTAGCGTAAGCTGGCAGGAAAGTTGAAGATATAGTCCATACCATGGATAAATTCATGGAGAAAGGCACCACATGTTTTCTGTAGGTCTAGACGTAGATTCTTCAGAGTCGGGGGGAGCTGTAAAGTTGTCTAGAAAGAGGCACAGAGCTGACGGATCTCCAAGAAACAAACAAATGCGAAGGCAAGGCCTTCGTTCGGCAGAACAAAAATTTTACGTCAGCAGATGATTTTGTTCTATTGCTCTCACGTGTAGCTAGAGTATTGATTTCCTGACCTTGCACTGTGCTCAGCAGAGCCTTCGCGTCTGATCTGATGCCAGATAAGAGAATCGCAGATATCTGGAAAAAGGCTAGAGGTGTGTCTTAGAAAGTCAAATTCACACCAAAGAAAGTAATCCAAAAATGAATTTGACCTAAGGTTTCTGGATATTGAAGTCCAGAGATTTTGCCTATCCAATAGTAGAATCCTGCAAATAGAGCGAATACGGCTCCTACACCATCCAGGGAGTCGGACCCGACCTTCAACCCTGAACCCTAGACCCTGAACCACTGTCCTGCCATACGGCGGTCGGACCGTCCTGCCATCCTACCATCCTGCCATCCAAACATCCTCCTATCCCAGCATCCCGCCATCCTACCAGCCGACCATCGAGCCATCCCACCACCCGACCATCCTCCCATCCTCCCATCCTCCCATCCTCCCATCCTCCCATCCTTCCATCCTCTCATCTGATGGTTGGGCTTCAACGCGACACCCCACCATACGATGGTCGAGCTTCACCGCTCCACCCGACCGTCGTGCCATCCTTCCATCCGGACCAACCGACCGTCCTGCCATCCGATCACCCCACCGTCCTGCCATCCGAGCGCTCGACCATCCTGCAGTTCTGTCATTCGAACACCCGACCATCCAACCTTCCTGCCTGCCCGCCTCCGGACCAACCGACTATCATATCATCGGACCACCCCACCGTCCTGCCATCCGAGCGCCCTACCATCCTGCAGTCCTGCCATCCAAACATCACCCTATCGCCGTGCCGCACCATCAGATGCTCGGGCTTCAACGCGACACCCTACTATTCGATGGCGGGGCTTCAACGCGACACCCCACCATCCTATGGTCGAGCTTCGACGCGACCTTCCACCATACGATGGTCGAGATTCACCGCTCCACCTGACCGTCGTGCCATCCTGGCATCCTGCAACCTTGCCATCCTGCCATCCTGCCGCCCGACCATCCTCCGATCTTGCCATTCCGCCATCCTGCCATCCTCCCATCCTTCYATCCCACCACCCGACCATCCGACCATCCTCCCATCCCGACATCCTCCCATCCGATGGTCGGGCTTCAATGCGACACCCCACCATACGATGGTCGAGCTTCACCGCTCCACATGACCGTCGTGCCATCATGGCATCTTGCAACCCTGCCATCCTGCCATCCTGCCACCCGACTATCCTCCGATCTTGCCATTCCACCATCCTGCCATCCTCCCATCCTGCCATCCCACCACCCGACCATCCTCCCATCCTCCCATCCTCCCATCCGATGGTGGGGCTTCAACGCGACACCCCACCATACGATGGTCGAGCTTCACCGCTCCACCTGACCGTCGTGCCATCCTGGCATCCTGCAACCCTGCCATCCTGCCATCCTGGCACCCGACCATCCTCCGATCTTGCCATTCCGCCATCCTGCCATCCTCCCATCGTGCCATCCCACTGCCTGACCATCCGACCATCCGACCATCCGACCATCCTGCCATCCTCTCATCCAATGGTCGGGCTTCAACGCGACACCCCACCATACGATGGTTGAGCTTCACCGCTCCACCTGACCGTCGTGCCATCCTGGCATCCTGCAACCCTGCCATCCTGCCATCCTGTCGCCCGACCATCCTCCGATCTTGCCATTCTGCCATCCTCCCATCCTGCCATCTTGCCATCCCACCACCCGACCATCCTCCCATCCTCCCATCCTCCCATCCTCCCATCCTCCCATCCCGACATCCTCCCATCCGGTGGTCGGGCTTCAACGCGACACCCCACCATACGATGGTCGAGCTTCACCGCTCCACCCGACCGTCTTGCCATCCTACCAYCCGGACCAACCGACCGTCCTACCATCCGACCACCCCACTGTCCTCCCATCCGAGCGCCCGACCATCCTGCAGTCCTGTCATTCGAACACSCGACCATCCAACCTTCCTGCCTGCCCGCCACCGGACAARCTGACCGTCATGCCATTCGACCACCCCACCGTCCTGCCATCCGAGCGCCCTACCATCCTSCAGTCCTACCATCCAAACATCCCGCCATCCTCGCATCATGCCATCCAACCATTTTGCAATCCGATATTCCTGCCATCCAACCTTCCTGCCATCCTGCCATCCTGCYGTCCGGCCTTCAACCCTAGACCCCGAACCACCACCCACCGTATGTCCGAGCATGCATTCGACCGTTCGACCATCCGAMCTTCCTGCCATTCCAACATCCGACCAATCGACCATCCGACCAATCGACCATCCGACCATTCCACCATCCGAACATTCCACCATCCGACCAACCGACCATCCGACCAATCGWCCWGAACCCTAAACTCTACACCATCYAGGGAGGCGGACCCGACCTTGAACCCTAARCCCTAGACCTTGAACCCCGTCCTGYCGTTCTGCCATCGTGCCACCCCATCATCCCACCATCCTGCCTTCCTGCCATTTTGCCATCCTTCCATCTCGCCATCCYACCACCCGACYATCCGCCCACCAGACCATCCGACCACCCACGGAGCCCGACCCGACCAGATCCCTAAACCTTACACCATCCAGGGAGGCGGACCCGACCTTGAACCCTAAACCCTAGACCCTGAACAGCACACGATCGACCGTCCAACCATGCGACCTTCCCGACGTCCTGCAATCGGACCACCCGACCATCCGACCATCCTTCGATCCCGCCAYCCGACCAGAACCCTAAACCCTACACCATCCAGAGAGTCGAACCCGACCTTGAACCCTAAACCGTAGACCCTGAACCACACACGATCGACCGTCCAACCATGCGACCTTCCTGACRTCCTRCAACCCGACCACCCGACCATCCGACCATCCTGCCATCCCGCGACCCGGCCAGAACCCTAAACCCTACACCATCCAGGGAGTCGGACCCGACCTTCAACCCTGAACCCTAGACCCTGAACCGCCGTCCTGCCATCMGGCCACCGGACCGTCCTGCCATCCTGCTATCCTGCCATCTGAACATCCTCCTATCCCWGCATCCCGCCAACCTGCCCGTCCCACCATCCTGCCAGCCGACCATCTTGCCTYCCGACCGTCCGACCATCCCGCCTTCAAACAATTTTACAATTTGACCGTCCGACCATCCGACTGTCCAACCATCCCGGCAGCCGACGAGCCTGAGTTGAACCGCAAGGCACAAACGACCGACCATCCGACCATCCGACCAGGCGACCAACCGTCCGACCACCCRAACRGGCCCGAAACGTCCGACCATCCGACCATCCGACCGTCCAGCCGCCCGACCGTACGACCGTACGACCACCTGACCATCCGACCAGGCAAGCAGCCAACCATCCTGCYATCCGACCACCCGACCAGCCCTCCGGCCAATAATTTTGYAGTCCCCCCGTCGGGCCATTCGACTGTCCAACCATACTGSCATCCGACCACCCTCACCTGAACCCCGAACCTTCCAACATCCGGCCRCACGACCGTTCGACTGTGTCGCCATCATCCTGCCATCCGATGGTCGGGCTTCAACGTGACACCCCACCATCCGATGGTCGGGCTTCAACGCGACACCCCACCATCCGATGGTCGGGCTTCAATGTGACACCCCACCATCCGATGGTCAGGCTNGACACCCCACCATCCGATGGTCGGGCTTCAACGCGACACCCCACCATCCGATGGTCGGGCTTCAATGTGACACCCCACCATCCGATGGTCAGGCTTCAATGCAACACCCCACCATTCGATGGTCAGGCTTCATGCGACACCCCACCATCCGATGGTCGGGCTTCAACGCACCCTTCCCGCCATCCGATCGTCGGGTTTGAACGCGAACCCACACCATACATCTTTCCGCTGCATCCTTCCTGGCATCAAGGCATCCGCCCTTCTCTTCTCGCCATCCACTCTTCTCGCCATAAAGGCTTCCGCCCACCTTTCCCGCCATCAAGGCTGTCACCCACCTTTCCCGCCATCCACTCTTCTCGCCATCCACTCTTCCCGCCATTCACTCTCCTCGCCATCCCGCTCTTCTCTCCATCAAGGCTGTCACCCACCCTTCCCGCCATCAAGGCTTCCGACCATGCACCCTTCCCGCCCCACTCTTCTCGCCATCCACTGTTCTCGCCATCAATCTTCTCGCCTTACACCCTGTCCGCCAATCGGATGGCAATGTGGTCGCGACCAACAAACGTGGGCAAACAAACACGACGTGCACAGGGTGGCGCGCGATGTGCATGCACGASCATTTGCATGCATGATGGGACRTTTTTAAGTATGGAAAGAACAACGATGTCGCCAAAGTGCGGTAAGGAACATGACGTGCAGAGGGTGGCATGTCAAGTGCATGCACGAAGGAGCTTTTCTCCCTGCCGCCC